CCCCGCGGCCGGGGCGTTCGGTCAGCAGGATGTCTGTGTGTTAGTTTGAGCGGGTTCATCCATTTCCATTTTCTCAGGATGAGCTCTTGACCGTGCTCCTGTTTCCACAGTTCCCGGCGGCACCACTGTTCTGGTGGAGCTCACCCCCGACATCCACATTTGTGGCATCTGCAAGCAGCAGTTCAATAACCTCGATGCCTTCGTTGGCCACAAGCAAAGCGGTTGCCAGCTCACCAGTGCAACGGCCGGGGCCACCAGTACGGTCCAGTTTGTGTCAGAAGAAACGGTGCCATCGACACAGGCACAAACCACAACCAGGACCATCGCTTCAGAGACCCAAACCATCACAGGTATTGTGGTGTTACATGCCAGGAGCTTGAAAGCCCTCGACTCGGGCAAAATGGCAATGTTACATGGCCCTCTGCTCATGTGTTCCCATCCCACTAAGCTAAAATAGCAGTTTTCACATTAGTTGTTGCATACCTGCAAGCAAAGGAAGAAAAATAAGTGGTGTGCTGCCTTCTTGGTTTTTTGGTATGACAACAGTTACTTCATTCACTAATTGAGATACAAGTTCACTTAGAGAATTGCTTAAGTCTAATGTGTTGTATAACCAGCTTGTGGAAACAAATTAAAATTGTCAATACTTACAAAAAATATTCAAATTACTATGCATTTTATTTTTTTAAGAGTGCTTCTGATGAAAAACAGACACGGAATTGCTCTCGGGCGCCAATCCAGGCTTTTTTATGTGAGAACACTCCATTCCCTAACATGCTTCCACAACTAATTGGCAGGAAAAATATTACTCAAAATTTCTGCCTATGTGAAGGCTCAAGTGAGGTCCTGATGCTGGAGACATTTAAATAAAAGTGGAATTTTGTTCTCTGTGTTAAGGGTTTGTCCTTCTATATATTTTATTTTATTTTATTTTGGTCTGGGACTTTACTAAAATCCAAATTATTTGACTTTAATTTGGATAGACAGATTAGGGCAGAGAATCTGGAAGAGCAGTGAAACAAACTGAATTCAGGGCTTGCTTCCAGGAATTTTTGTATTATAATCCCTCAACTCAGTGTGGGTTTTGGATGAGTCATTTTTCTGCTTCATATTTACTCATTTTAAAATGAGGGCAGTCATATCCTTCTGCCCTTTTGGGGTGTAGCATTGTTTAATTGATTTAAAAGCTGCTACTTTGGCTGAGATAGGTGTTACTCACAAGCATTAATAGGTAAAACTGAAAACAGTATAGCTGAAAGAGGCTGAACTCTTTTAACAATCAGAAAAAAAAATTATTTACATGGTGCCTTTTTGACACACTTGCCATATACATAATTTGAGAGTTTTTTTCTCCTCTGTGCTGTAGCACAGCCAGTGTTGAAAAACAAACATACCTTTATTAGTGTTAAACCTGGACAGGCATCAGAAAAAAAAAGAACTTCTGAAGAAACTGAATGATACAGTCAGATAGGATTCAGAAGGAGACAAATGGGCCTATGCAGGGTCATACCAAGTTCAGCATCCTCATCAGGTCTTGACAGAATTTTCACTTATAGCAGGATAGCAAGGGAGAAAAAAGCTTTTCTCCTTTCCCCCTCCTGCAGGTGAACAGGAGGCCAGAAACAGGAATTTTGCTGGAAAAAACAGAATAAAGAAGTAATTAATTAAACTAGAAAATCATTAGATTTTTCTGATTGGAGAAGTTAATGTTCTCAAATTGAGCTCTTTTATGTGTTTAGTTTCTGCACCAGAGTTTGTTTTTGAGCATGGCTATCAAACATACCTACCCAGTGAGAGCAGTGAGCCTCCAACTGCTGCTATCGTCTCTACACCACCAAAAGCACGTTCAAGAAAATCCACTTCCTCCCTTACGCAGAAGAAACTAAACTGCTGCTATCCAGGTAAGATGTGGACTATACCTTCTTCCTTTTCATTTAAAAATTGATAGGTTTCATATAATGATATGCACGGTAGCTCTGTCGGTCTTAGGCAGTTAAGACGTGCAGAACCTGGAAGGCAACCTACTTACTAAAGGTGTGATGTACTACCATGGATAGCAGTAGTAGTTTTGCTATTGATTTCGCATGTCCTTAGACTTTGGTCCTATACTGTGGTGTACTCTGGCGATGCTGCAGTGGGTTTGCGTATCGACGTTGGCCTGTGCCCGCATCTGTAGCAATATAAGAGGAGAGTCTTGTTACCTTTTTGCTAACTGCCATTGTTGTAAGTGAAAAATATTACACATGTATTTTTGCATTAAATGTTTTATCTTTGGTCAGTTAGCTTTTTTATAAGTATAGATTGAACCGAAGTATTTGGAGACCTTAATGAGTAAAAACCATGTAAGATGCAGAAAACGTGTGCAGAGACAGCCATGTGGATGAGTAGTCGTGTTAATGGCAGCAGAAGTTACAGTCTCTTTTTGCAAGCTTGCCTTCATTTGAAAGGCACGTTTCAAATGCTCCACATTCATTTCTGTGCTCTAAACCTGTAGCACTTTCCACCGGAACTGATTCCATTAATGGTGAGCTGTTACCTGAGTTCCCAATTGCACTAACTTTAAGTCATATGTGGAATTAATTAGTACGTCCAGCATCCCCTGTGTACTGTAAAGAGCATCTCAAATCCTAGGCAGAGATTCCAGAGAGTTTGTTTCAAAGCTTACAGAAAACAGTAATGTAGAGAATGAATTGCCTCCTAGGGGAAGCGTTAGAAAACTGAAGTTCGTAGGTAAGCTGGTCACTATTTCAAGTAGATGTGAGTAAACAAGATGGGGAATTTGTTTTCTGTTAATACTGAATTTTAAAGAAAAAGTTCTTGAAAATAAACATAATGTCCAGAATATGGTAGTATATTTTTATTATTTTGTTAGATTTGCCTTGAATTTAATGATCTTAATCTTACAATTTTCAGGTTGCCAGTTCAAGACTTCCTATGGTATGAAGGATATGGAACGTCATCTACGAACACACACAGGTTTGTTGTTGCTATATTTTGGTTTTGGTTGGTTTCCTCCTTTTGGCTTTTTGCTAAAAGGTATTTTCCTACAAAGTAATGTGTCTATAGATAAATTAGACAGAATATGCACTTAGGTGCATACATTCTAGTGTTGTTATCTGTGCCTGGGGAATTGCCCTTTTTGGGTAAGCTGTGTCCCACTATGGGCAATACCACTCATGTTCATGAAACATGAACGCTGCAAATTGATTTAAGGCAGTTAAATTTCTGAGGCGCAGACCATGTGTTTATCAGGGTGCAGTGTGGTGGTAGTGCATAAACCTAGCTTTTTCTTCAAATGGAACAATGATCCCAACGTTTCTCCTCCCTTCCCCCAAACCACAATTTCAGAGTTGTAAAGGGAGATGGTTCCAAAGGGTCTTCCAAATTTGTTGCACTTGCATATTCTAGAGCATTGAAGAGTTCTTAACTGATAGGATGGCTGCTGAAATCCAATATCCAACTTTTGAAAACTAGTCTCATTTCTGTTCAGTGTTTAGTGTGTCCTTTTTTTTTTTTATTGCAACAACATCCTTATGGTGCAAAATTTCTTGATGTGTTGATGCTCTTCTCTTTGTTTCAGGAGACAAGCCCCATAAATGTGAAGTTTGTAACAAATGTTTTAGTCGTAAAGATAAGCTGAAGATGCATATGCGTTCTCATACTGGTGTGAAGCCTTACAAATGTAAACACTGTGACTATGCAGCTGCTGACAGCAGCAGTCTCAACAAACACCAGCGCATTCACTCCAATGAGCGTCCTTTTAAATGCCAGATCTGTCCTTATGCAAGCCGCAACTCTAGCCAGCTAACTGTACATCTCAGATCCCACACAGGTAAGTTTATACTAAAATTCAGATCTGTAAAGGTTTAAAGGTCGTAGGGAAGATTTTAAAAGGTACACAGTTGTTGTCAACGTGCCTGAAAGGGTCTATTCGAATTCTGTAAAGCACCTAGGCATCCAGCTTCTGTGAATTTCTTGGGCATAGAATCTAGTAGGGCAATACAGCTCTACTAAAAATACCTGGAAGCAGTCAGAAGACAGATCTGACTCTTGGTAGATTTTCTTCTAAATTGATTTTGAAACTGCCTATTAGATGTTCTTAAACCAGTAGAACTGAAGGATCTAATTGATTGATTGATTAAGAGCATCTAGGTTCCTATCTGTGTCTCTCAAATCTGGTCCATTATATTAGAAGCACTGAAATTACTTTATAATTGAACTAGTTATATCAGTGCAAACCTCAGCTGCATAATTTAATTTTCCTTGCATCAGTAAATTTGCAAGTAAGTAGCAATTTAAGTTACATCTTTTTTTGACCTTTCTGTGTGGTACCTTCCACGTACAGTCTGATGGACATCAACAGTGTAGTATGAACAGCCAGAACTATATTCAGCCTGTGTCATTTTTGCTTTATGGATAGAAAGCTTTAGCCTCCAGGCTAATAAACATTGTATCATTCTATATATGCATTATTTGCCTAAGTTTCATTTAAATCAGATTTCCCTTTTATAGATTGTTCCTAGAAGAGATTTGCTGTAAAGATACTGCTGTACAGTTGTCTTTGTACAGTTGTCTTTCTGTGTTGTTTTTCACCTAGGCCAGGGTACTGGATTAGTTTCTGTGTTGTCTTTTATACATTTGATTAGTTCCATGAATTTTAGCTGCAAGGTGGTCATGGTTCAGTGATTACTAGATTAGCTTTGAACCTATCCTACATCTGATCCTGAATTCGAGTACTGAACAACATTAGTTCAGATGTGTGCAAGATGGGATTTATTTTGAGTAGATAAAAGAAATAAATCCCTTGTGCATTGTGAAGGAGGGGAGGGTTAAACCAATCTGTCTCGAGCAGAAAAGAATCTTTTATACTTTACAAATCTGCTGTGATGAAATAGGCAGGACTGTCAGGCAGTTGTTTTACAAGTTTCCCTCTTTCTATTGCTATATAAGAACATGTGATGGTCAGTCAAAATAGTATGAGTTATTATGAGAAGTTATCTGTTAGTAAATACAGTAGTCAGAGAATATAATACTGCATTTTCTCAATATATAAGAGCATGAATACTTGTGCATTTATGTACGTGGGAAGGTATGGTCCAAATTTGGCTATGGGAGAACCTATGAATGATCATGGTGCTCTTGTATTTCCAGTAGAGTAGTTGTTTGGGTTTTTTTGGTAGCATTAGATATTGCAATAGTTGGGAAGGGGTTTTAGGGGCTACCTTCTTTCTTTTGGGCAGATCAGTCTCTTGTATCTTAAGCAGTTGAATTATGCTAAAATTCAAGTCTTTAGTTTTGTTGTCTCTTCCATTCCAAGTAAATCCTGTTTGTAAAAGAACTTTTTTTTTGATTGACTGAAAGGAGGCACAAGAATTTTGAAAGTAATCATTTCATCCTTGTTAGGTTACAAAGCTGTTAGGCACACAGCCAATTTCAGCAGAAAAGTAAGACTGGTATGTAGAATTTATTCCTTACTGGAGTTAAATTAGTCATTCTCTAGAAGGTGAGTGTAATCTAGGTTGCTCAGAGTGAGATCATCTACATAGCATTACTGGTTGAACTGGTTATCTAAAGATCAGTTTCCTGTTAATTTGAGTGAAACTACTCTTACAATTAATAATTCCAGGATCAGACACCTTTTTTTAATCTATATTCTATCAGTGTCAGTTATGTATGGACAAAAGTGTAAAGAAATATAAGTAATAGACCACTTTAAATAATTGGAACCAACATACTTTGCTATATTCACTGAAATTACTAATTCATTTTCATATATTGTGCTACCCTGTATGTGAAAATTAAGTCATTGAAATACATACTGTGCCTTCATAAGCAAAGCAGATAAAAATTCAGTAGCTGAGTGTGCAGCTGAGACTGTAAAATAAACTAGATGAACAAACAGTGCATCTTCATTAATAAAATGTGTTTAATATAGATAAATCATCATGTATCTCAATTATTAAACAGATATATGGATTAGCACAGTAGACCACAACTTGATTTGAAAAATACGCAGCTAAACCTATGACATATGTAGCTAGATAAGCAAATTATGCAAAATTATACAGCTATCACAAACTCTATAAAATATTAACTCATAAAATAAATCAGCCATTTGCAGTTTGATTATTAAAGAAGATAAATGCTTGCTGAACTAAGTACACTCTCTTTTTCCTCCCCCTGCCAAGGGTGTCTTAGAACCTAATAATACAGTTCTTCCACTTTTTCAAAATAATACCTACCTAAAGACTTCATGCTCAGGTATTTTGGAGAACTGTGTATTTAGATTAAAGAAAAAAAGTGAACAGTTATTTAGTTTGGGTTGATAGGTTTGCTTTGGATTTTTTTTTTAATGACTTCAGAACGGAGTCACTGGTCTTCACCCTGGAATTGATTAAGCTATAGCTCTGTTTATTCCATAATTTGGTCATGCATGTTGTGACACAAGCCTGCAAATAAAGAAAATGCAAAATAGTGGTTTAGATCTAGGCAATTCAAATGGTTATTTGTATAGGTAGTCTGACATAAGTAGGCTTACAGAGATCTTGCAGATGAGTGTGTTCATTTTTCATGCTTTATCAGTTAAGAATTTGACCTAACTTTCAACTGTTATTGTTAGGTTTCTGGATCAGCACTACTCTAAAAAATAAAAAAAAAGACACTTATGAATATTTTCTATACCTGTTTGTATTAATACAAAATTATATTATGTGAATACAAACTGATACTAGATTTTCTTGAAGTGATTTGTGGAACATTATTATGTATGATACATGGTACAAATATTTCTTCCTTGGTTGCTGTAATGCCAGAAAAACAAAAGCTTAATGTTACTTCTCTGTGTAAGCACATTTCCCTAGAGTTGCATACTTGCATGCGCGTTTCATTACTCTCACATTTATCTTTTCCAGTTGCATTTATGTAGCTGTGATCCTTTTTTTTTTTTTTTCTATAACTGTAGTAATACTATGGTTGTGCAGTCACCTGACACTGACCTAGGTGTGAACTTTTGTCCCTGCATCTCTGTATGTTCTGAATAAGAGTTTCCACTTCCTTTCTGTGCCACCAATAGTATTTGTGCTCCACCACGTGAACCAGACCAAAAAAAATAATGTTGTTCTTGTCAGCTAGTCTAACTCACCATGTGAACTAATGTACAAGAAAGGCAGTAAGAAATACATGGTTGAGCAGTAAGACTGGTGCCTGTTAAACATCTGTTTCTGCAGTAACCTACCATTTACCTAGGCTTAAAGTTAACCTACAAACCTCCCTGTAAATCTTATAGTGTAAACCCTAGGCATGGGTGTGTTTATGTTGTTTTCTTAGACGTCAAAGATACAGCAGCTCTTATAGTTACAGTGTTTATTAATTTTAAACACTAGTTGGGATATACCGTTGCTAAAGAGGGACAAATGAGAAACTTCAGTCACTTCTCTGGAGCACAGTTTTACACACAAAATGAACTAAAAATGGAGAATATCTTAAGATGCAGACGTGAAAAAGCAACAGATATGGACAGGCATGCTTTTGGAGAGTTTGCACACAAATATGTCAGACCAGGTGATAAATGCTGTGCCATTAAAGTTCTCTACATCTTGAAAATATGTTGGGAGTTTACAGGCATTTAGAACAAGCCAGCTGTACATAATTCATTATAGCAGTGGTCTCTCCAATGGATCTTGGTGTCTCATCTATAATGTGAACTGGTTTTTGTTGACAGGAGATGCTCCTTTCCAATGTCAGATGTGTCCTGCTAAATTTAAAATCAACTCAGACTTGAAGAGGCACATGCGTGTGCATTCTGGTGAGAAACCTTATAAATGTGAGTTCTGTGAGGTCCGGTGTGCCATGAAAGGAAACTTGAAATCACACATTCGTATCAAGCACAGCATGGAAAATACTCTCAAGTGTCCAGAATGTGAATTTCAGTGTGGAAACAAAACAAGCCTTCGGCACCACATAAGAACTCATCAGCCTGAACAACCAGTGAAGTGCTCAGAGTGCAACTACTCTTGCTCCAACAAGGCAGCTCTGAAAGTGCATGAGCGAATTCATTGCAAAGATCGTCCTTTCAAATGTGAATTCTGCAGCTTTGATACCAAGCAGCGCAGCAACCTGACAACTCATGTGAGGAAAGCTCATGGCGACAAAGTCAAGACCAAGAAGCAAACCGTGGAGAGGAAGGAAGGAGATAGGCCGAAGCAAGGTGGCTCCAGGCAAGTCGCCAAATTGGATGCCAAGAAAGCATTCAAGTGTGACCTGTGTGATGCTTCCTTTGTCCGAGAAGATTCTCTTAGGAGTCATAAGAAGCAGCACAGTATGTATAATGGATCTAAAAATAACGAACTGGCTGTTCTACAGCTCCAGATGGATCCCAGTCGGCAGACCAGTGGCCCAATTACTGTCAGTCATCTCCAGGTCCCACTTCAGGCTGCTCAGGTTTCTCCATACAATGAGGGAAGGGTCAAGATCATTGTGGGTCACCAGGTCCCTCAGACTAACGGTATTGTTCAGGCTGCATCAGTGAATGTTGTGCCTCCTACATTAGTTAGCCAGAATCAGGAAGACCTCTCAGCCAATAGCCGCTTGCAGCTTCTGGGCCAAGTCAGTTTGTTGGCACCCCCTCCGTCTACCATATCTCAAAGCGAAGCAGGGCCTGTGGCACAACCAGCAGTTCTCCTCACAACCCATGACCAAAGCGATGGAAGCGCTTTACATCAAACTCTGATTCCTGCAAGGCTTCAGCAAACCAAGCTTTCATCACCAGCTCTGGAATCAGCTGCTCTGACTTAGAAGGCCTTAATGCTTTGATACAAGAAGGAGCAACAGAAGTGACTGTGGTTAGTGATGGAGGTCAGAGTATAACAGTGTCCACTCCAGCTCCCCCTCCTCCTATCTTTTCTTCATCCTCTCACACAGAAACCCCAAAGCAGGCCTATTCTATCATTCAAAGTGGAGCCCATACAGCTTTGCTGTGTCCAGCAGACTCCATACCAGATTAGCCGCCAAGTACTGTTACTAAACAAATTTCAGTCTCGGAGGTAGTGTTGAATTCAGCGGAAATGCACAGGACGTAGGTGAATGCAGGATTTGTCCTACAAAGCCAAATACCTTCCACTTACACATTTTACTTGTCTGTATATGGAAACATACATCTTGTATTTGAAAAAGAGGATGCGTGTATTTATGTGCCTCTATTGAAATCAGAGGCTGTGCTCTTTGTAAAATCTGAGCATTGAAGCAACTGTTGACAATTTCATCAAGCAGTAAGCTTCCCAAAATATGATTCTTGTTTTGTGCTGGCTAAAATGAGAAAGCCTCACCTTACGATGCATTACCTTCACAGCAGCCTCGTTCTTTCATGCACACATGAAAAGGTAATAGTCCAAGCTATTCTGAAGTTTATTTTTAAGTGAAGAAGTCTGTTTCAATTACATGCTATGTATGCATATACTGACCTGGCTGATTTTGATCTGTAAGAAACATCTACTACTGGGTCTAATGCAGCCCTAGTAAAGTTTAAGGGAGCTGTTCCTTAATATTTGTAGAAGTTGCTAGCACCTGGCATTTAATGTGGGAATGGTTATGCAGAAGACCAGGTGATCATTTTTAGAAAACAAAAGAATTTTGTCCGTCCATCAGTAATAACTAACTTTGTTAGCAAGAACACTATTACAAATTATAGATACATGACACAGTGATCTCTGTCAGAGGTGCCTGTGTTTTAAAGAGCAGAACAACTGCAAATATATTTTTTACAAACACTACTTAGATTTTGGTTTTATGTTAATGCTACCTGTTTGTAGTTGCATGGGTGGTAAGTGCATTACATTTTGGCTCTGTTCTTTTTAAGTTAAAGGGGAAAAAGGAAAAAACTGAATTAATTCAATTTAAAATAAAAAAATAATAGATTCTAATCTAAGGTGTGAAACTCTAGCATAAACTCAGATTGGATCACAATGAGATGGGAATTTACCATTATATGATGCATATTTCTGTAATGAATGAATTCTAGGCTGTATTTTGAACTATGCAATATTATAGTCCCATCTGGTGAGCGTTCTTGTAGCTAATAATACCTTTGCTACCAAACTCTCTAGTTAAAGAACAGACTCTGAACTTAGGAAAATAGATGGCTCTGTAGGTGCCTGGATCTGCAAAAGTCAGATCATTTCACAGCCAGACAGCATCCCAAGGTCAATTGTTAACATACCTGAAGACTGAAAAGAGACAGTTATCAAAACCAGCTCTGAGATTCCCTCTTGGGGAATCAAAGTCAAGTTAAATTTCACAGTATTTGCCAGTGGGAGACATTGAATGATTGCTTTATGTGCTAGAAACATGCTTGGAAAACTTACAAAGATTATATAATTAGGGCCACTTTCTGAATGGATCTCATGTCTGAAATTTTTAGCTTGTACAGCCTTTATTTTGTGTATGCGGGGGTGGTCACTGCTCCTTCCCTCTGTGTGGTACATACTCTGTGTACAGTGTAAGGCATCCTGCTTTACAGCGACAAGTAGGAAAATGCAATCAACTCACAAGTACAGTCGTACAGGTTGTTTTTGAAAATGTGACCTTTGTTTTTTGTTCGAATAAGGGTTGTTTAAACTTGAATGCTCCAGTATTGCTGTCTTCATTATTTATGGTAAATAGTATTTTTGAAGATCCATATCTCTTCTGCCTTCCTAATCCTTGATTCTAAATTAATGTTCTTTTAAAACAAAAAACCCTTCCAAATAATCTTGGGTTTAAAATCTGGGTTTTGTTTTGAACTGTCTGACAGTGTGCCGAACACTTGTGGATGTCAGAAAAGACCACACTCCAGTTGGAGAAACTTCGTAAATGTTTAATTAAAAAGGCATTATTAAAGACTTATTTCCTAGCCTCATGCTGCATTGAAATATAAAGCAGAAGTTCTGTGTTCACCGACAGTTGTATTTCAGGGTTTATTATTTCCTATGCTTGTTCTCCAACTTTTCTGGTGATACAGGTTTGTCACCTGTTAATTATCATCTCTTCCCTACAGATAGGTGATTTAAGGAGCTGACAAGACCCAGTTCCAAGTCACCGAGCACACTTATTTTTATACAAATTAGAAGTAGGCGGGAGGTTTTTACTACGCTAGATGACTGCAGAACATTCATTGAGAACAATAAATTGAAAGCCTAGATACTTTGAATTTTAACACTAGCATTGCTGTTTTTGTGGCTCTCCAGTCATGTTTCATTGTTGTGCTTATAGCACAGACCTGATCATTACACTTCAACTGTGCTGATACTACTTGTAAAGTACTTGGAAGATAAGACATCACAGGTAAGCGCTTGATCTTATTATATGTGGTCCCTGGTATCCAGGTTGTAAATGATCACGGGAGCAGCATAGATCAAACACTTTCCTATCCTTGAATTAAAATGCATGGCATAGTAGCAGTTCTTCACTGTTAATCCATCTGCAAATGTATGTGTACGTATGCGCATGATTTAAACCATGAGGCTGCCTATAGTCTTTCTGTGCACTGGGCCAATAGTTATAGTAAACAGTAGTGAAAGATGGGGAACTTTCAGTCCTGTAATGGTAAATCAAATTAATACATTTTTCACCTAACTTACAGTGGTTCTAGACCATGTGCAGCACTGGCGTTGCAGGGGAGGAGATGCTTCCCCAGGAGCACAAGTGCCTGGCAGGGCTGAGCTGCACAGGCTGTAGGATGTGTGAGGGACAACTGGGCTGCAGGAGAGCAAGCTTGGGGAAGTTGAATGCAGTTGAAGTTCAAGTCTATTTGACCTGCGGAGGGAGGGGGCTCCTTCAGGTCATCTCAGTGGTCCAGGTTACAGCACTGCTCCACAAACAGTTAGACTAGCATAGCAAAGTAGATGGTAAACTACAACGAAGATCAAACCAGAGATGGGTTGGGAAGGAGGTTTCTTCCAACTCCTTTTTTTTACCAAATTCTAGTACCAAGTGACACAAATGGTGATAGCAAATTGTACTCTTAGCTTTCAAAACCTGTGCTAGGTCTTTGAATAGGATTAACTAGTCTGTTGGTGATTTAGGTTTTAATAGTAGTTATTATTTATTTACCCTTTATCATAAGACTAAAGAATCTAAATTGATCTGCCCTCACATACTTGGTTTTATCACTGGTAAGTCTATCTCTGTATCTGCTTGCTCACACACCATCTTTCCAATATTTCCTGCTGGTTGGTTTTATGAAGGGTCACAATCTCAAGGATGTTTGTGTTCTAATTTCTAGAAGCCACATGGGTAGAGAGTTTAAGGAGCTTGCATGTCAGAGACCCTGGTGATGGAGCTTTCCAAGTGCTCCAGCTGGACAAGAAACTTCTGCCTGGGACATGGGATAGGAGCTGGTGGACATGTGCTGCTCTGAGTTTAGAGCTGGTGGCTGTACATTACTGCAAACGAGGTGGTAGTCTTCTAAGATAAAAGTTTGGAGGCAGTTAGACCTACTGCTGATATTGGTGGGTAAGGTAGGCAGGCTTTCAGGTATATGAAATTGTACCAAGCTTACAAACTTGTGGGTGCAAATGTACTACAATTTGGGAACTAAAAAGTAACATTAATTTTCAGATGCTTGTTGGTATAAAATGAATTCTGCACGCAGGGTTTCACGAACGTGAAGTAATTTGTGTCATCTGTAGGTGGTGCTAGAGATCCAGATACACTGTTAAATGTGGTCTGGGCTGCTTGATGATAATGTTTCCTGTTAAACAGTTCCCGGCTTTTAACTCTTCTCCGGGTAAAAACATTTCAAAACCCACTTTTGTAATACATTACAAAAAGGTTAGCTGTAAAAATCTCACTTTCACTTAAAAGCAACAAATAAAAAAAGTCCGAAATTTTCTGTTAAGATCCCATGAAGTAGATCTATGGCCAAAACTTAATCTCACCATTTATGTTAAATGGATCATTTTTTTACTCCCTGTTAATTTTAATCTGTGCATAGTTTACAGCTGCAGAATTGTTGTGCACTACAAGAATGATACAAAATGAGCAATTTTGACAAAGCTGATGGTTTGAACCGTGATTTATCTGTGTTTGCGCTTGGCCAACAGACCTGCACCCAGAGGATGCACCACCATGTCCAGGAATCTCATGTTCAATCTAATGTCACACTTAACGTTACACAGCTCTGTTACCTCCATTGCAGTTTCACAAAAAGGCTTGTTTACCTTCTAAAATAGGAAACCAGTAGATTTGTCATATTATAAAGACTAACCTTCATTCTGGTCCTATGTGTGCCTCTAAGATAAACAGGAAAGATAACAAAATGGTGTGAATGAATAGACAAAGCTTAGTGCTGCTTCTTCGGCATTGTTTAGCTGATTGCATTATGTTTAAGTGAACAATCTAGAAACTTCTTTCCTCCACCCTAAAAAAAAAAAAAGAAAAAAAGATAGCTGATAACCAAGGCTAACATGGGGGCAATTTCTTTTCAGTTTTCTGTTTCAATATTCTGGCTTTATTTCTGTGTATGACAGTAATGGTCTTTGTGTTTTGGAGCTGGCAGAAGCAGATTGTTTTAATCTCTGATACTCATTTAATACATTCTTCATGTTATCAACAGAACTATCCCTTGAGAGAGCATGGTAATTCATAGCAAGTGGCTCTTGTAGAGCTTGCTTGCTTTCAAGCATGTGGTAAATAAATTTTGTACCTTCCTAGAGTTCTGCCACAGCCTCAGAGCTCTGTAGCAAGCTGTCTCTTTCCAGGACAAAATATTGGGATGGATTTTGTTCCTCTTGCCTGGAGCTCTCCAAGCCCACCCTGGCAAGCCCTGAGCCCCACGGTGCACACATGGCACAGAGCGAGTAAACCCGGCTGCTGCAGGGGAGCTTCTCGCTTCTGCTTGCTTGTTACAAAATGGATGATGTTTACACTGCATTGCACTGAGCTGGCTCTGAGTGGAAAATGTAAAACTAAATATTTCACGGTTAGCTTCCTTCAACACATTCATTGCCGGTTTTGCTCTCTGCACGGTCTTACGCTTTCTATACAGTTTGCTTGTGGGG